AAAATATCTAGCCAGGTATTACAGCTTAAACCTGCTGCCATACCACTTTGGGAGGCCAAGGTGAAAGGATCACTTGAGGGCCAGGAGTTTGAGACCAGTCTGAGCAACAAAGTGAGACCCCAATGCTATAAAAAATAGAAAAATTAGCTGAGTGTGGTGGCTCACACCTGTAATCCCAGCACTCTGGGAAGCCAAGGCAGGCAGATCATCCGAGCTCATGAGTTTGAGACCAGCCTGAGCTAGAGTGAGACCCCCATTTCAAAAATTAGCCAAGCATTGTGGTAGGCGCCTATAGTCCCAGCTACTTGGGAGGCTGAGGCAGGAGAATATCTTGTGCCCCAGAGACTGAGGTTGCTGTGAGCTATGATGACATAGCACTCTACCAGGGGAGAGAAGGAGACAAAGTGAGACTCTGTCTCAAAAAAAAAAAAAAAAGAAAAGAAAAGAAAAGAAAAGAAAAATGAGGTGTAGTGGCTCACACCTGTAGTGCCAGCTACTTGAAAGCCTGTGGCACAAAGATCACTTGAGTCCAAGAGTTTGAGGTTGTAATGAACTGTGATCACACCACTGTACTCTAATCCTGGCAACAAAGTGGGGCCCTGTCTCAAAAACGAACAAACAACAACAAAAACAACAATCCCACGTAATGGCAAAATTACAGAGCATCAGAAGTGACCATTTGTTTGTAGGTAATAATGTAACTTGGTCTAACCACTTTGGAAAAGAGTGATTTTACCTAATACCTTAGGACAAGCAATTCTACTCCTGGGATGAATAAAGTCTTACACATTAGATGTGTTCCATTTTCATTGTAGCATTTGGGAGTAGGAAAGAGTAGGAAAAAGCAAGTATCCCAAATGTTCACCAATAGGAAAAGGGACAAATGCACTGATGAATCTTTAAGCAATGGTATACAATATAGCAGAAACTGAACAGCATGCCGTACTGGTTAGCAAAAACCAAAAGCTATGGAAGAATACAAATTCAGTACACGGTAAAGTTTAAGAAGGCAAAATTAAACAATTTGTTTGAAGGAGTGCATTCATACAGGATGAAATTACTTTTTAGAAAAACATTAAACATATTAATATTTTAAACCCAAATTCAGAATATTGCCTACCTTTGGAAGTGAGGGAACGAATTTTGGAGGGGTGGTTGCCCAGGAGCCTCAAAGGCACTGTGAATATGCTAAGCTTTAAGTTGGCTGATAATGGGTACACTGGTGTGTGTTTTTATCCATTTTATTTCAACTGTCAAGTATACTATTTACAATCTTTTGCATATACATATGACATATTTGACGTAATTTTAAAATATACATATACATGCACTCATGTACACACACACACACGACCTCTGAGTCAAGTTTCCTGGTTTTGGATTTTGTTCTAAATAAGTGTCCAGTGTCCACATTCATAATGAAGATGAAATAAAGATGATTTCCCTGGACTGGTGATTAGATGGCAGGATCTGCCGGCCTGCCTACCTCTTGCGGTGAGATCCTGGAATATTTGTGCTTCCCGTAGGGCTTGTAGTCGATCATGTAGGAGCTTTGATATATGTCTAGATCCACCGGGGCCTAAAGGACAAAGAATACAAAACAAGAGATCCTGCCTTGTCATTCTACCACTTAAAGCCATTCAATGGTTTCTCATTGTTTGTTGGGAAAAAGTCCAATTTGGGGGACAGAAATTCAGAGCCCTTACTGATCTGGTTTCTGCTGCCTTTCCCATCCCACCTCCTCCCTGCCCACTGTACTCCAACCTCACTTCTTCCCTCTCACACAGGCCTGGCAATGCTCTTATCTGATGGGGACACTGGTTGCCCTCTTCACAGACTAGCAAACTCCTATGTATCCTCCAAGACTCCAAATAATGTCACTTCCCCCAAACATCTCTCCCACCCTTGTATATTCCACCTCCCCCAAAGCTAGTCCTTTCTCCTCTGCTTTCATAGCATGTTTCACATCCCTCTACCACGGCACCTATTCAGATGTGTTGTAATTGATTTAATGAAGCACAAGACATCAGGACCTTATTTTAGGCATCTTTCAGCCCCAATGTCCAGACAGTGCCCAGCACACTGTGGATGCCTTAATTTTACTCTGTTGCAGAAACAAAATCATTCAAGACTGATGACCAGAGGGAACCTCAAAGAACTCAGCCCTCCCCTGTGGCTGCTTACTAAGGCTATCCCATCCTGAGATGTCACAGGACACAGAAACCCACATCACTCACCTGTCTGGGGTACACCACACCTGCCATGGCAAAGGACCTAAACGCAGACAAGTTGTTTATTTAGCCCTGCTCTGCCATAGCCTGGGAGATAGCCACCATCCCCATAGCCATGCCCCCTAAGCCCATTCCCACCTTCCCTGGGCTCCTACCTCACACATAACTTAGATCATCCAGGGAGTGGTTGTGACACGAGGGACGAATGGGCTGGTGGACAGGGACCCTGGTTCAAAGGAGCTGGAGCAGGACTCAAGAGGAATTTAGGGCTGTTTAAAAGATCAGATTTACCTTTCAGACAGGTAAATCTCCTCTCCAGGCAAGTGATGTGCTGGAAAATATTTAACAACCACTTTTGGAGGAAAATAAACCCTGGGTTTATAGCATCTGCCAATTTCTGTGGTTCAAATCCTCCCATCATGACCCATTGCAAGCTGTCAATGTAATTGTGAGGTATGCTCAGTTGAACAATAACACCTTTTAGGTTCAACCCCACCCTCACCCCCAGCCCTGAGGGGAGGCCTCAGTGCCCTTGTGTGCATGGACCCCTCGGTTCCTGATGAGTGCTTCAGTGCATTCCCGGGGAACCTGCCCTGAGCCTCACTCCCTGCAGCAGGCTGTGGCCCAGAGGGCAGTGACCAAACCTCAACTAGCCTGTATGTCCTCTTCTTTGGGGGGCACAGATAGCTTCTATCTTAGGATTAGAGACAAGCGTCAGTGTGGACAGAGCCTACCCCTCCTTCTGCCAAGGCGCGACGACGCTCCTGCCCTCCCACTTCCAGGTGCCCCTGACACATGAAGAGTCCTGCTGCGGTGTCCTACCACCACACCTGTCTGTGAGATGAACCCTGACCTGGGTGTTAGAGGCTATTTTGGTCATAGGCCCCCATCATTGTGAGGTGGATGGCAGGTCAGGCTGCCTACATGCCAGCTTCCCTGTGCCTGGCTAGCCCCCTTTCAGTGAGCCTCTGAAGCCAACATGAAGCTTTGAAGGTACCGGGAGCAGGTGCTTTCCAAAACTTCACAGAATCGATCTGTTTTCAGGAGAGGGAGGTAAACAGAAAGAAGCCCATATGGTTTATGACATCAGACTGTGAGTAGCTGAATCCACCTGATAGCATAGCCACTCCAGGTTACGAACAAGCCTGGCTCAAAATTGTTGAAATTCTACCCTTTTTCATATTCACTGGTGATTATAATCACACACAAAAAATAGTAAGAGTGGATGAATATGTGGAAAAATGAAAACCATATGATCCAAAGTTACCATATGATCTAGAATTCCACTTCTGGTTATAAATCAAAAAGAATTGACAACAGGGACTAAAACTGATACCTGTACACCAGTGTTCATAGCAGTATCTTTCACTATAGCTATAATGTGGAAACAACCCAACTGCCCACCAAAATGTGGTCTGTACACACGGTGGAATATTATTCAGCTTTGAAAAGGAAAGAAATTCTTAACCCTCTGGGAGGCTGAGGGGAGTGGATTGCTTGAGCTCAGAAGTTCAAGACCAGCCTGAGCAAAAAAGTGAGACCCAGTCTCTAAAACTAGCCAAACATTGTGGTGGGCACCTGTAGTCCCCACTACTTGGGAGGCTGAGGCAAGAGGATCTCTTGACCCCAAGGGTTTGATGTTGCTGTGAGCCATGATGCCACAGCATTCTACCGATGCTGACAAAGTAAGACTCTATCTCAAAAAAGAAAGGAAAAACAAGATGAGTGAACATGAAGGAAATTCTGATACATGCTACAACAAGGATAAACCTTGAAGACATTATGCTAAGTGAAATAAATTAGTCACAAAAAGACAAATATTATATGATTCCACTTACACAGAGAAGTCAAATTCATAGAGACAGAAAGTAAAATGGCGGTGGCTGGAGGCTGAGGGGAAGAAATAATGGGGTGTTATTATTTAACAGGTGTGGAGTTTTAGTTAGGAAGATGACAATGTCCTGGAAATGGATTATGATGATGGTTGCACTACACTGTGAATGTACTTGATACCACTGAACTGTACACTTAAAAATGGCTATCTTTCTACACATAGTTTAAAAAAATGGTTAAAATAGTAAATGTTATGTCATATATATACCATAATAAAAAACACCACCCTCTTTAAGGAACACCTTCTCCATGAAGCTTTCCTTGATCTCACTAGATGCCACAGATCAGCCTCCATTAGATAACAGTAAATCTATGACATGCAAGAGAATGGCTGGGTGAGCAATTCGGAGGGGGGATCTAAGAAGGCCTCTCGGGGAAGAATCAGGGGCCAAGATCTGGACGAAAGGGGTTCCTGGCCCAGGGATCAGCAGCTGCATGTCTTGAGGGTCAGAGACACTGCAAACAAGAAGAGCCAGCCAGTGTGCCCGGGAAGGCCCAGAGTCCATCTTCCTATAATGGCGTGCCAGTGTCTCCTTGGAGAACTGTTTCTCTACTTGCTTTGGCTTCAGTGTGTCCTCAGAATTCATGTATTAGAAATTAAGTCCCCAGTGTGCTAGAATTGGGAGGTGGGATCTTTAATACGTGATTATAAAGTGATTAAGAGGGATTAATGCCTTTCTTGGGAGTGAGTTCTCTCTCTCAGGACAGGATTAGTTAGGGCAAGAGTGGCTGGTTACAAACCAAGGTTGTTCCTCGTGTTTTGCCTCTCTCACATGGGCTCCCTTGCTCTTGTACTTTTCTGCATGTTAGAATGCAGTATAAAAGCCCTCTCCAGAAGCTGCTGCTATGCCTTGGACTTCCCAGCCTCCAAACCATGTGCCAAGTAAACCTCTCTTTATTATAAATTACCCTATTTTGTGTTGCTATAAAGGAATACCTGAGGCTGGGTAATTTATTTTTAAACAGATGTTTATTTGACTCACAGTCCTGCAAATTGCAGAAGGAGCATGGTACCAGTACTTGCATCTGGTGAGGACTCAAGCTGTTCCCACTCGTGGTGGAAGGTGAAGGGGAGCTGATATATACAGAGATCATAAGCTGAGAAAGGAAACGAGGGGCAAATGCCACATTCTTTTTAAAATAACCAGCTCTCATGGGAACTAATAGAATAAGAACTCACTACCACAAGAATGGCATAAAGCCATTCATGAGGGATCTGTCCCCCCATGACTCAAACCATCC